AGAAAATCATTAGAGATGAAAACACATGCTCATAAATTTAAAATAACTTGCATCTGGGTATTCTTGAGCCCATCAGACCATTTTTTTTTTTCATTCTTTCTGCTACCCTTAAAGGTATTTGATGATATAAATTAGGGATTTTCTTTCTTTTGAACTTAAATTGTTGAATGGTTCGGCACTTATCTTCACCTGCTCCAGTGACCTCTTTGGCTCTTTTCCTGCATTATACAGAAAGAAACCTGAAGATAAGCCAGTTGTCTTGTACTTCCAGCCCATGATAATCTATGAGTTGTTAGTAGATGTTATTATATGGGGGTTTTTAAACCAAAGAAATTGTTCCTTTAGTGATTATTTAAGTTTTGTTTGTTATTTTATATTTTTACTCATATGAAAAATAAGAGAGAGAGAGGGAGAGAGAGAGAGTGAGAGTTCTCATTTCTAGTTCACTCCTCAAATGCCTGCAACAGCTAAAACTGGGCCAGGCTGAAGCCAGGAACCCAGACTAAATCTTGGTCTCCACATGGGTGTCAGGGACCCCAGTATTTAATCCATTACCTGCTGCCTCCCAGGGTCTAATTGATAGGAATGTGGAATAGGGATCAGGAGCCAGGAATAGAACCCAGGCACTCTGATATGGGATGTGGACATTTGACCACAAGGCTAAATGCCCATCATTTTCATTTGAATTTCAGAGTAATTGTTTTTCTTACCATTGCCATCTAATTAAAGACTGTCCTCAGTGCAAAGCAATTGGTTGAAAAGATCCATTAGCACTTATAACATCAATTTCTGTGGCTGATTTTTTTTCTTTTGAAGCCATAAAAACAAAGCAAAATCCTCAAATAAATTGGATACTGAGAGGGTATGAAACTGCAACTATAATCTCGACTTCATATATTTTATCTCAATAAAATTAACTTCTAATTAATTATTCATACCTGTTGTCTTTATAATCAGTAACTGCTGTAATTTATTAATAAAATGGATTTAAAATATGTTTAGGTGTTAAGTTCCATATATGTTACCACTGAAAGTGTTTGCAAAACACTGCATAGAAGATTGCTGTGAAGATTTGCATTTCCACCTCAGTAAAACTCTATCTTGGCTAACCCCTACTTGCTTGCTCACTCTCCAGTCTTCATAGCTTGATTTTGACCCCCTGGATTCTGGGACTTTGTTGGTTCCCTTCTTGCTACTTTGGACATTTTATGAGGTTCACAGGTAGGGATATTCTAGCATATGCCATTTTCTAAGGTCAGGACTCACTTTTCCCATGCCGCCCAGCAGAAGCAGTTTCTCCTGAGGTTGCGCTTGCAGATGAATCCTTAGGTGGGCCCCATTGAGGAGGGATGTCCCAGCACAATTCTCTGTTGATAACTGTCTGAGGGGCCCACCTGGGACCCAGATGATTGCCTGAAGTCTGCACATGTGCTGAGACACAGACTTCTTGGAATGGCACCCACTGCTTAACCATTTTTTTGGGGCCACTTAAAACACAAAACTTTGTTGTCTGCAAATAAGGAAATACCGGAGGAAACACAGAGTTCCTGATTCCATGCCATGCACTGTATGAGGTGGTTCCTTATGCAGTTTCTTTCTCTTTCTCTCTTGCTTCTGGCTCAAACTCAATGGAATAAACAAAGCAAGGAACCCATTAGAGAGCACTTGTGAGATGGGATTGGGGACGTTTGCTTTTATAGGGGAAGAAGGAAAGGGAAGTGTTTGCCACCAGGGCAGGGGTTTATTTACTCTTCTGGTGATTCTCACATTGCACAGAAGAGCTCTGATGCGTTTGGAAGGCTCGGAAGGATTACGTGTATATGGGTGGGGTCATCGACACTTTGAACAGAGCCAGCAGGATGATTTCTGTAAATGCTGAAGGCACCCTTATGTTGTTTGTGAGAGTATAAGCAGCAGGAGAAACCAAGATCTTTCCCTTTAAGGAGCATATGGGTTCCCTGGGTAGAACAGACATGATTTCCCAGAAACATTAGTGATAGTAGGCAGCATATGGGGGTGCATAGCACAACCCATTGTAACCCAGGAGAATGCATGATTCTTCAAGTTGGGGGTGAAGGAAGCCATGCAGGAGAGGAAGGCTTGTCTGTACCATGTGTGCTGGTCCTTCTTCACATCCTCCCCTTTGAGCACATTTTCCATGTCCTGAGTGCAGTTCTTGTCTCCCCAGTGCTATCTGTTCCTGTTACAAGGAGCAGAGATTCACTAATGCTACTCTAAGTAGTATGGGAGTGTCCACAGGGAATAGCACAAGGATTTATTACAAGGAATTGAAAAAGCAATAAGGGTCATGGGAGACCTCATAGTATTCAGATATTCTGTGACTCAATTTCTTCTTTTGAAAGCGAGACTAATAATAGTACACAGACATTGTTTTTTCTTTTTAATTAATTTATTTGAAAGGCAGAGTTACGGGGTTGGGGTGATGGAGAGAAATCTTCCATCCATTGTTTTACTCCCAAGATGGCTGCAATGCCTGGAGCTAGGCCAATCTGAAGCCAGGAGCTAGCAGTTTCATCTAGGTCTCCCACGTGGGTGCAGGAGCCCAAGTACCTGGGCCATCTGCTGCTGCTTTTCTTAGGTGCGTTAGCAGGGAGCTGCATGGGAAGTGGAGCAGTCAGGATTCGAACTGGCAGCCCTATGGAATGCCAGTGCTGCAGGCAGTGGGTCCAACAACTAAACCACAGCACCAGCCCTGACTCATTGGGTTTTTGTAAAAATAAGTAAATAAGATAATTCATGGATAATATTTAGTTCAGTAGATGGTACAAAGAAAGTCTTCCATAAATGCAATTTTTATTACTAACATTTTTTAGTTTCTCACCATTTTACTTACTCACATAACTTTAATTCTTTATTTTTCTCATTGACTCGTATGATTTTAGGGTCTTAAAATGCTTCAGTTTCACCTTTTGATTCCCTCAGCCCTATTTTCTTGTTTCCAAACAATATTCTTTTTTTTTTTTTTTGACAGGCAGAGTGGACAGTGAGAGAGAGAGACAGAGAGAAAGGTCTTCCTTTGCCGTTGGTTCACCCTCCAATGGCCGCCGCGGCCGGTGCGCTGCGGCCGGCGCACCGCAGTGATCCTATGGCAGGAGCCAGATACTTATCCTGGTCTCCCATGGGGTGCAGGGCCCAAGCACTTGGGCCATCCTCCACTGCGCTCCCTGGCCACAGCAGAGAGCTGGCCTGGAAGAGGGGCAACCGGGACAGAATCCGGCCCCCCGACCAGGACTAGAACCCGATGTGCCGGCGCCGCAAGGTGGAGGATTAGCCTAGTGAGCCGTGGCGCCGGCCCAAACAATATTCTTAACAGATAATCTGATGGCCTTAGCTCATGTTGTAAGATTAGATCATGTTGTGTATGACTAGTCATTTTATTAGCAGGCTTTTCTTGGGTCTGTCTTCTTCTGGTCCAAGCATCAGGAATAATTGTGGACATAGGAGTGTTGGGTTGGTGGGTTTTGGTGTTATGCTATCCATAGCCTAACCTTGTTTAGGCATTTGCCTGGCTGAGGGCTATGGAAATCTCATATGTGACATGCTGAGAGGACACACAGATGGTGCATGTGAGATCTCTCCATCAGGAAGTGATGTGAAGATGAAGAAAACAGTGTACCCAGAAGACTATAATGTAGGCAGATTCTGAGAGCAGAGTGAGGAGAGTGCTGTAGAGGTCAGTGTGGCCCTGCAGACTGTGGGATCTGGAACTGTCTCCTGGAAAAAGAGACTCTGAGGGCCGGATCTTGGGTGTTCCACAGGCAAATGGCAGCAAATATGCCAGAGACAGTGGTCAGTGCTTCCATTAGTCCTTACAACATGCCTGTGAGGTACGGATTGGGGCATACATATGAAGTAATGGGTGCCCAGGAAGTTTACGTAGGTCTTACAGTGCTAGTGGATAAGAAAGGAATGATTCAAATCCAGGTCAGTAGATTCCCACAGCAAGAGCAAGGACAAGAAGGACAGAAATAGTTGAGGCTCATTCTACCCAGAAAGGCTGTCTGGTCTGTTTGTTGTGAGCCCAGAGTGTCTCACATCACTTCCTGATGGAGAGTGTTTGCTGAGGAGTGTTAGGAAAAGACTGGAAGGATGGCTTGCAAAGGACTGGGGAAGGGTCTGAGCCCCTGAGTAGACTGGGTGGGGACCAGAGTCTCAATCACAGACCTGAGCACAAGACTCTGTGTGTCAGGAGAGTTGTTGATGCTTTTTGAAGTGACTGTCAGGTGGAGGTGTTTTTGGGATGGCTGAGCCTTGCTCTGCAGCCCTCCTGTCTAGCCACTGATTCACTCAGATACCGCAGGACACTTCCTAAAATCTAGGCTCCTGCAGGTTATTCTTCCTCTTCAAGTCTTCCCAGGGCTCCCTAGAGCTCAGAGAACAAAGTTGAAGTTCCTTAATGTGACATTAGATAGACTTCCAATCTAGAATCATCTGTGTCTTTGTCCTCTGCTTTATGTACCCTAAGTTCTCGCCACACTGAGCCTCTCACTCTTCCCCAAACAGGCATCCTCTTTGGAGAGTGTGTTGTATAGGCTCTTACCCTGGCTCTGTCTGTAATGCCATCTCTTATCAGTTGGTATGGTCTGATAAGCTGATGGTTTCCAAATTTGAAACAGTGATTTTTCAACTTCATGATGGTGTGGAAGTAATACACGTTCAGTAGATACAGACCTTGAATTCTGATCTTTTCCTGTTCTGCTGCTATGTCCTAAGATCCTCTCTTGTGATGCTGAACAGTGGCAGTTCCTAGTCAGCCTGGCGGTCACAGAGGGCAGCAACCTGTACCCTATAGTGTGCTGTGCTGCTAAGCTGTGATGGTACGTAGGGAAGGTATATGTGATATGTTTTTGATTAGTGATATTTGAAATTTATGATCAGGTTTGTTGGGACATAGCCCTGTCATAAGTTGAGTAATATGTAATCTTTTAACCTCCATAACAACTTTTTCAAACAGACTATTTTTTTCACCTATTTTATAGCTGAGAAAATTGAGGCTGAAAGTGGTTAAAATGCTTGTCTGGGTTCCCAGAACTAGCAGGAACAGAGCAGGATGTCAACCCTTCCATTCTGATTCCAGGTTTGTACCCTATATCAGTATCCTGTCTGGTCTCTCTCTTCTGGTTTTCTGATTGGTGGGCTCTTCTTATATGTGATCTAGATTTGATGACTCTTCTACTGTGTTTTCCTTGGTCATTCTCATCACAATCCACTGTCAGATGAGTCACTCTTCAGGGCTTTATCTAATTCTATAATGCTAGTTTGTGTCTCTTATTGGAGTTCATTGTATAGAGCTCTTAGGTTCTGAGCTAAATGCTTGTATTTTTCCAAAATTTGTATGTTAATATCCTAACTCTTAATGTGAGTATATTGGTATCAGGGACTTCATGAAGGTAACTAAGGTTAAAAGAGGTTTTAAGGGTGAGACTCTGATCCAATTAGCTTAGTGTCCTTTTAAAAAGGAAACCTGTTGAAGTGAAAGGGATACTATGAGAAACAGTGACTTGATCAGACCTTGTCCTGACTGTTGATGTACAATGTAATACTTTATCCATTTTAGTATTTTTTTTGTTCTACTACTATTGGTTGAACTCTGTAATTAACACATAATTATTCTTAGGTGTTTAAATTTTAACTGAAAAGTGATCCCTGTTAAATATAAGAGTGGGAATAAGAGAGGGAGGAGATGTATAATTTGGGACATGCTCAATTGGACTTGCCCCAAATGGTGGAGTTAGAAACGTGCCAGGGGATTCCAATACAATCCCATTAAGGTGGCATGTACCAATGCCATCTCACTAGTCCAAGTGATCAATTTCAGTTCACAATTGATCATAATGATAGGTCTAAGAGTCAAAGGGATCACACAAATAAGACTAGTGCCTGCTAATACTAACTGATAGAATCAAAAAGGAAGAGAAAGATCCAACATGGGAAGCGGGATACACAGCAGACTCATAGCATGGCAGATGTCCTAACAACAGGATTCACTGTGTACTTACTCCTCATGTAGGATCTCTGTCCTTAATGTGTTGTGCAATGTGAAGTAATGCTATAACTAGTACTGAAACAGTAGTTTACACTTTGTGTTTCTGTGTGGATGCAAACTGATGAAATCTTTACTTAATATATACTGAATTGATATTCTGCATATAAAGATAATTGAAAATGAATCTTGATGTGAATGGAATGGGAGATGGAGCAGGAGATGGGAGGGGTGTGGGTGGGAAGTAAAATATGGGTGGGAAAACCATTGTAATCCATAAACTGTACTTTGGAAATTTATATTTACTAAATAAAAGTTTTTTAAAAAAAGAAAACAAGAAAGGATATCAGATTCTCTCTCTCTCTCTCTCTCTCTCTCTCCCACCCTCCCTTCTCTCTCTCTCTCTCTCTCTCTCTCTCTCTCTCTCTCTCGTAACACCAGAAACCAAGGCAGGAGGACAATGATCTGGAACTTGCAGCCTCGAGGATTGTGAGAATCTGGATTTCTGTTATTGAAGCCACCCAACCTGTGTTATTTTGTTTTCTGGATGAGTCTTCTCTTCGGAATGTGAGTGATGAACTGGCAGGGATTCTATCTGTCAGTGACCCTGTATTCCCAAGATTCAGCATGGGGCTTTCCCCTGGCTTGCAGAAGGCCTTGGGTAGAGTTTGCAAAATTGTGCTTCATTGCACCTTTACTGCCTGGGTCCTAGGATCTCACAGCTACAAGTTGACCCAGGGCATTCTTCCTCTCCTACTCTGTTCACCTGTGCTCTGACCCACTCCCCAGGAGATGATGGAGGTGGAGTTGTCTCAGCTGCACATAGCTTCCATGGACTGTTGATTTACTGGCTCCTTGCAGAGGGCTTGGCGGCCGGCTGTCTCCACTGGCCCTTGTAAAGCGGCTCCCTCCTCCTCACCCTTCACCAGCAGCCGCCCCACTGACTGCCAGGGCAGAATTTATGACAAGGATTCATCAGATTAGGAGGGACAGGACACGGTTCTTTTTCCACTGTGTGCAGAATGCAGTTGGACAGCATTACAGGCCCCTCTGACTGCTGAACAAACCCACGTTGTCATGCTTGGCATTTTCTGACTTGAGGAGTCCCTGGAAGCATTCTACATTGATGAGAAATAACTTTATAATGTTTTGAAGTGAAATATAAACTTTCCTCTTTCGGGCCCCACTCGGGCTCAGGGCTGCCTCCTGCCAGGCTTTGGAATCTCCGTGTGGTGCCTTTTCACCACAATTTGCTCTTTATCCAGACCAAAAGGCAACTGTGGGCTTTCACCCAACCACTACTTCCTCTTCTAAGATTGGAATAGTTTCCCTCAATCCTGAAAACCACTCGTCTCATCTCCTTGTCAAGGGTTGGTGAGAGGGAACTCACTACTGCTCCTCCCTACATATTATTTGATCATTAGACTCCATTGCTTCATAGAAAGTTTTTCAAAAGGTGGATTTTACATATCTTTTTTAATTTAATTTAATTTTTTTATTTTTATTTTTTGACAGGCAGAGTGGACAGTGAGAGAGAGAGACAGAGAGAAAGGTCTTCCTTTTGCTGTTGGTTCACCCTCCAATGGCCGCCGTGGCCAGCGTGCTGCGGCCGGTGCACCACGCTGATCCGATGGCAGGAGCCAGGTGCTTCTCCTGGTCTCCCATGGGGTGCAGGGCCCAAGCACTTGGGCCATCCTCCACTGCACTCCCTGGCCACAGCAGAGAGCTGGCCTGGAAGAGGGGCAACCGGGACAGAATTCGGCGCCCCGACCAGGACTAGAACCTGGTGTGCTGGCGCCGCAAGGCAGAGGATTAGCCTAGTGAGCCGTGGCGCCGGCCGGATTTTACATATCTTAACATTATTTTTACCATCTCAGGCAACAGCTGAAGCAATAAAAGATCTGGTTCTTGTTTCACACATCAGCTCTTCCCTTAGTAAAGATAGCAATGAGTTTCTTTCTTCCAGCACTCATCAAGGGGCTGCTCTTTCAGGCACAGTGAATGTCAGGGTGAACACAGGACTACTGCATGCGGTTTTGCAGCTGTGGATGCATGAGTTTAGGGAGCTCCATTCACAGACACCATTACCTGCACAATCCTATGGGATTATCTTGCACGAACACTGCACAGTTCATGTTCTTGAAGAGCCTGCACTTCACCCTGAGATCTTCTGAGTTTTCTTGTCCAGCTAACCCTCCGCAGCTTTCTTCACGCTGTTCTCCCTTAGACAAAGGTATGAGTGTAAATCACCATCTTACTCTTCCTCTTCATCTGCCCAAGGCTTTCTATTAGTGTATGACCTTCAAGTATGATCTAACCTCATCAGAGTGACTTAGAGTTATCACCTCCTATTTGGAGTTCCAATGGCTGTTACTGCAGTTCTTAAAAAGAACCATTTACTAAGGTGTTGCATTGGTAGATAATTTTTCTAGAGATCATGGCGGTGCGTTAAAGGAAAAAGACATTCACTTTTTAGCTATATCTGATATGTGTTAAATTTAAAATTATTTCTCTTTTTGCAAAGTCTAGCATAATGCATCATTCAGATTTTAATTATCCATTTGTATGCTTGTGTTCCATACTAGACTGTAAGCATCTTGGTAAAATTTTTAAATTTATTTTTGTTTTATTTGAAAGAAGAGACAGGGAAGGAGGGAGGGAGGGAGAAAGAGAGAGATAGAATATTCCATCTGATGGTTCATTTCCAAAATGCCCACCCTATTGGGTCTTGTTCAGGTCAAAGCCAGGAGCTAGAACTCAGTCTAGGTCTCCAGTGTGGATGGCAGCAACCCAGGCACAGATGACCCATGAAATCACCTGCTGCCTTCAGGGTGTGCATTAGAAGGAAGCTGGATTTGGAAATGGAGCTAGGACTTGAACCTCCAATATGGATGGAGGGCACTTGCCCCAAATCTAAATTTATAGGAGGAGCTGATTTTCATTTTTATGCATTCTCAGAGTTAGGCCTGTGTGGGGAGCAACTTGGACTAGACTAAGTTAGTGGAATTAAGACTTATTCTGTGCATCTGCTCTCCCACAATATGGCGCTGGGAGAGGAGGAAACAGCTTCTACACAGCTGCCTCCAGTTCAACCAATAAACAGCAGGACCTGCTCCTGATTGGAGGAGAGCAGCGTACTCGGCGTGTGGGTAGCAGAGTTGGGATTGGTGGAAGAGGACTATAAAGGAGGAGAGAGACAACATGCACCGGGGAACATCTATCTGAAGGAACACCTGTGCAGCCCCCGAGAGAGCCGGCCGGCGGTGTGCCGCTCCCCCGCGGAAGTGGGGAAAGTGGCTAGGGGGAACCGCCCTTCCACGGAGGTGGAAGGGTCGGTAGCCAACCCGGGAAGAACCAGCAGCAAACCCGGGGAGGGCCGAGCAGACAAAAGAACAGCGCAGGGCCCTGTGTCGTTCCTCCACGAAGACGGGGAGCGACAGGCCTGACCTAGGTATCTGCTTGGTAAATGTGAGACATCCACCTTGTTCATGGTTATTCTGTGTGCTTGGGATGGAGTGTTGTAATGGAGAAAAGCCAGCAGCTGCTCTTAGGAAGACTCTGACATAGACTGCTCATGATAACCAGTGAATTTTGAGAAATAGATATGAGGGCCCATACTCCTCATTGGTGCTCACCAACTAATGGGCTTTCTGTGATTCAGTAGTAGCGTGTGGCTTTCCCAGTAGAGCAAGGGCCTGTTGGATCTCAGTAGTGGCACTTAATCAGAATAGAGGAACTTATCATTGCTTCTGGAAAGACCAGGTGTGTAGGAGTCATTTGAGACAATAAGAGGAAAGGATTTTGCAAAAACTCAGCTTTCAATGGGGCCCTGGTATTCCTGGGGGCACAGTCACCCATTTTTGAGGGTCTGTGGGAGGTGATATAAATGTGATTGGATCACAAAGCCTTCACCAGATCACTGGCTCAGAGATACCAGTGTTGGCAGTCACATGAAAAACCAGATACATTGAAAACATCAGAGTTAAACAGTGAGGTAGAAAAGAACAAAAGGGTGAGACTTTCCAGGGAATGGAGGAAGGGAGGGAGAATGAGCTCTTGGGAAGGAAGGTGTCAGTGCTGTGTGTATGCCCTCCTTCGGAAGGTTGACCAGGTGAATGGATCCCAGAACTGCTTTCCTGGTCATTCAGTGTCTGATAAGCCCTGTTAGCCTCCCCTCCTCTGTTTCAGCTACTTCCTTACTCCTTCCTTGTATTCTAGAGACTGTCAGAGGCAGTCTTTGGCTTTAGCTCTCCTGGCCCCTGGTCCTGTTCTTCCTCACAGCAATGTATGTGGCCTTGTTTTCCATTGGTTAACTGGTGTATGTACTTTTTATGCCACTCTTGTCAAAATCCCTAATCACTGACCTGGAGGAAGATCACTAGATTCAAATTTAATCAACAAAACAAAGCAACTTCGGTTTTTGGTACACTAACCCTTTGCACCACTCCTCTCCTGTTTTAGTCTGGACTGCCTCTAACTCATTTTTGTGGTATTTGGTAAATTGAGCTTGAGGTTGAACTCATAACAATATTTGGAAACTACCTTAATTTTATAATTAAAGATGAAGTGACTCATCCAACCTTCTCTTTCTCTCCCTGCAAATAATCTGGCAGTAAAACAAATTTAGGTTATTAAGTGGTATTTATTTAATTATGATTTGCTGTAGAGCTGTTTAAGAGCAGGTCATTAGGTTAAAGCCATTGCACTCGTTCTCAGAGTGGAGGATGTCTTGTTCTGACTTACGTTTGGGTGTGCTTTCCCTGGCGCTGAGCTAACACAGCCGTGTTTACATTACACAGATTCTCAAGTTGCTGAATTTTTTTGTTCTTCCAGAAGGAAAAAGATGCAACGCAGACAGATGACTCTATTTGATGTGATGGATCAAGTCAAGCTGGACGATGGTGGATACTTTCCACTGGAATTAACCACACTGCCTTCCCAATCTTTCCATCTTCCTCACCACCAAATCAGTGTTGAAGAAGAACATTGTAACTTCAGAATATCGGAAACATTTGTAGCTTTATCAAGAGTCTCAGGTTGGTTAGTCTCTTGGTGCTAATGAGTCATGGGTTTCCTGGACACCAAGAACTCTGACTGAACCCCTGGCTGCTTCCAACTGGGTAGGAGATTGAAGGATTTGGGGATTCCTTATGAAATGTTGAAATGAGGTAGAGTTTACGTATAATGAAGGCATAGAACCAGGCACACCACAAAACTCCCTTCATAGCCTTTCCTCGAATAGTTTTTCCCAAATTCCTTGTCTCCCAGAGCCCATTTGGCTTTGCATTTTCTGGGCCAATGTGAGAAATGTCACCATTATTTCCCAAGAGGAACTGAGCAAGATAGATGGTCTCTGCCCCAGCAGGACACCTGGATGGCATCCTTATCTAGGGCCACAATGGGAGTGCATGTGCCTGCATGTTTATTTATTCTCCTCCTGTTTGGAGACTTTCCCTGATTAATTACTTTCTTGTAATTGAGGCTGCTAACTAATGTCTCATCTGATTAACCTGTAGTTTGGCTCTAGGTCCCAGAGGGTGGACAGGCCATCCCGTCTGGGGAACGAAGGAGGTCAGTGATCAGGGGCCCTTGGGATGCCCATTTTGGGCCGGTTTATTTGCTTTAAGTCTTGTTTGCTGTTCCTGCTGCAGTGAGTGGAGACAGCTCCCCCCTAGTCCCATCCAATCTAATTGGCCTGCTGAAACATCAGTGAACATAAGATTTAAGAAATGTTTTCTTTGAAAACTTCTGGTCCGACAGACACTTTGAGCTCATATTTCACCCTGTTTCTAATGCACACCCTTCCCTGGGACTTTCAGGAGAAATATAGTGAGTGAGTCTTACAGGAGAACTGCTTCTCTGTGGTTTGGGGGGTGGCAGTGGGGGCTGATGCACTGGAGGTAGGAGGGAAGGCTGTGTGGAGGCAGGCCGGCATCTTCAGAATCTAGATACCATGCCAACGTTAACACATCCAAGGAGGTATTCAGTATCAAAGTCTCTAATATTTGGCTCCACAAACACGATACCGGTTGCAAAAACAAAGCTAAGGAGCTCATGCTGATTATTTCAATAAAAGCTGTTTAATTATGAACGCTTGGGAAATGAAGTTACCAACAGGACCAGGAGAACTCTGACGGCCTGGCGTTCCTGCCCCCAGCATCCTGCTGTTAAGCCAGATTGTCCACTCAGCTGAAAAGTTTGACATTGAGCAGGGCACGCCCTCAGCCCCACAGGAGACCACTCACTTGCCAACCATGTTCCCTCCTACTGCAGTGGCAGTTCTTGAGAACTGTTTAGTGATAGAACCATAAAGTGTTATCAGTCCCACTCACAGGCCATCCAAGGGTTACATGGCATGGTGGCCAGAGCTCCCCAAACACCGCACTTGGGAAGTCAATTACTGTTTCTAGGTAGCTATTTGACCTTCTCCTACCAGAAGTCAGGGTTCCAGGACCAAGAAAAGTGGAACTGAATTCTGAGCTGGCAGTCAGTGGATCTGATTATGGAAACAGTAGATTTTTTTTTTTTTTTTTTTTTTTTGCTGAGCCCTTGTGTGAGTCTTCTTGAGGAGCTATGACCTTACTAATGCTTCTAAATCATTGTCCTTTCTCTTGTGTGGTTATAACCAGCTATTTTACATCAAATAGAATAGGTAGAACTATATGTGTAAAAGTTTAACAATAATCAGAGTTGAAGCTGTGTATGTGAGTGAAGGAACATAAAAACATACACATTGTCAAGGGGAGAGCTTTTTAGCATAGCAGTTTTTCTGTTAGACTGATGATTTTTTTCTCTGAGACTCAAAAGTTTTTATATCTTAACTATTTTTAGTGAAAAAATCTTTAAAGCTTACCCTTATTTAACAGTAGATATGAAATACAAATGAATTGTTGTTGCTCAGCCCCGATGATTCCAAGCTATAATACAGCGATACCTTCAGGAACTGCTGAAAGACCCCCAACCATTGCACCCATGCCCTGAGACACAATGACAGTCATTTGTAAAATTTATTATTTGCGGCCAGCGCTGGGGCTCACTAGGCTAATCTTCTGCCTGCGGCACTGGCACCCGGGTTCTAGTCCCGGTTGGGACACCGGTTCTGTCCCGGTTGCTCCTCTTACAGTCCAGCTCTCTGCTGTGGCCCGGGAATGCAGTGAAGGATGGCCCAGGTCCTTGGGCCCTGCACCCATATGGGAGACCAGGAGGAAGCACCTGGCTCCTGGCTTTGGATTGGCGCAGTGTGCTGGTCGCAACGCACCTGCCGTAGCGGCCACTTGGAGGGTGAACCAACGGCAAAAGGAAGACCTCTCTCTCTCTCTCTCTCTCTCTCTCTCTCTCTCTCACTGTCTAATTCTGCCTGTCAAAAAAATTTATTTGCAAAGTTAGGACAGTTATAATTGTGTCAGAATCTCATGCTAATTACAGTACTAATAGACTTCGTGCATGTGAAAACCAATTAGAAATATAATGTGGAATGTTAACAAATATTTTTTCTCATATGTTTCAGTTGCTTTTATAAATATGCTTCTGTTGTTGTCCATAGCTGCTCTGTTATTTTGTGAGGAAATTTAAGTGATGACTTGAGGACACCAATCAGGCAGGGTGAAGTACCCAGATTTTCTGAGACACTTCCTGCTGCTGGAGATGTTGCATAAAACAGAGAAGGGATGATGGAATCTGGGCCAGATATTCCTGTTCAAATTTCAGATCCTTCTCTTAAAAGTTGTGCACCCATGGACAATGTTAATATTTGTGAGCTTAGTTTCTCTATTCTGTAAAGTGGGAGTAGGAATATTCATGTGTGTACTGAAAATTTTGTGAAGCCTAAAGTTTGTAGGTTGGACACCCAGAGAATACTATGTGCATTTGATATGTCATTTATCAGCGGAATCTTTCTCTGGTAGATTAATAGCTGGCCAAGGATAGTTGGGATTACTAGTATTCTGAATACTGGCATTCTGAATACTGGCAAATAACTTATATTTATGGCCATTTGTGTGTGTGCATGTGCGTGTGTGTGCACATGTGTACTTGTTAGGGCTCTTGTAATTACTGCATGCTTTTTCTTGTCTTTTTGGTAGTAGGCATTCTAACTGGGATGAGATGATCATCATTGCAGTTTCGATTTGCTTTTCCATAATAGTGAGTGATGTTGAGCATTTTTTCATGTATTTGTTGGTCATCTGTTTCTCTTCTTTTCAGGATTGTCTTTTCAGATCCTTTGATAATTTCTTAACTGGGTTGTTTCTTCTTTGTTGAGTTTTTAAAAAATCTCACTTTCAACATTGCAACAGTCATTTTCTTCTTCCAGTGAACAAGACAAAGACGCCAAGTCAGAAAGATATTTTAAGTGTTGGGGAGAAGTTCTTGCCTCTAAGATCATACCGTTCAAAAGGGTCTGGAACCTCACTGATAGTCAGTGAGACAAAGCAATGAAAGGGAGAGAAAATTGAGTTTATGGGAGTTGGAGAGAGGATAGGAAAAGGGATGAGAATAATGTGTTTTTTGAGGGGATCTTACTTAAACTTCAGACTGGACCATTTACCTGGAGACCATGTGCCAAGAATTTTTATTTCTCCCAACTTATTCAAAGATTCCAGTGAAAGCTTAACTTTTTATGCATGGTATACACAGTTAAAATAACACCTTAAATTCCTCTGTGCATGGATTCGTTTTCTCTTCAAATGGCCAGAGTTACTAAGAAAGACTTAGAAGGTTATTTGAGGTTCACAAGATTATCAGCGCACTTAGACCAACCAGTGGTACTTGGAGAAAGATCAACCTGATACTGTCATTCTCACTTGATGTGAGTTGGGAAGAAGATCTTGATTGGTCCCCAAGAGCCATCTGTTCCACTATTAACTGCAAATAGCAAAAGAAGCTTGTGGGATCAGGAAAGGGGACTAAACTCTTGGTCAAAATCTTTTTATTTTTGTTTAAAGAGAAGGAGAGAGAGAGAGAGAGAGAGAGAGAGAGAGAGAGAGAGAGAGAGAGAGAGAATGAATATGAATCTTCTGTGTGCAGGTTCACTCCCCAAATGGTTGCAACAACCAATGCTGGGCCAGGCTGAAGCCAGGAGCCAGGAGCTTCTTTCAAGTCTCTCGTGTGGATAGTGGGGCCCAAGGACTTGGGCCATCTTCTGCTGCTTTCCCAGGCACACTAGCAGAGAGCTGGATGGGAAGTGGAGCATCAGGGACTTGAACTGGCACCCACAAGTGATGCCAGCATTTCAGGCAGTGGCTTAACTCACTGTGCCACAGCACCAGCCCCCTCAAATTCTTGCTCTAAATTCTCCTACCAATTGTGTAACCTGAGATAATCCATTAACTTTCAGTGTGCTTTCTCCTTTCTTTAATGAGTCTAATAAGGTGGAAATATAAACTAAGAAGGTAATGGGTGTGGAAGAATTTTGGAAAGATTTCAATATGCCATGCAAATTCAAGAGTTAGTTCATTCTACATACTTTAGTACCCTTCAGATTCTTCTAAATTCAATAGATAGTATAATAAATTAGAATGATGGTCTTGGAAATCATCTCTTTCAGGGGTCCACAGTTACATACAAGAAATGGAAGAAAAGAGGGAGTTGTCCACAAAGTCATGTGGCATGTTAGTGCCAGGTCTAAAGTTGGAACAGGGGGATTTATATTGCTTTATTGTTTCCCCCTGATAACAATTTCTCTAAAGAGGAGGCTCATAATAAATAACAATCGAGTTCAGGAGAATGGGTAAGGATGTCAAGAAAATGTAATTTTGAGGTCATCTTTCCTTTCTTGATAGATGGATTACAAACCCCATCCCCGTGGGGAAACGTAACCTTGAAAGTACCCTCGCCCCATCTTCTGAAGTCAGTTGTGGCTGTGACTTTGGGGGACTCTCAACTTACAGTGCTTTGAGTAGTTGTCGCTGGTAGACAGACCCATACCTTACATCCCAGTTTGGGAGAATGAAATGTGATCACATGATAGGGTCAGCCTCTGAAGAAGGACTGGCTTTTCAGAGAGGACTTCTGCCCAGGGGCATCTCCTGTCCATAGCATGAATTTTTCCTCAAGAGGAAGGGCTCAGAAAAGCAAAGTTGGGACAATTTCCTGCTGATTGCCTTTCCTTTCATCCTTGATCTGCTTCTCCATAATGAACTTGTAGATTATCCCAGTCATAGTTCAAGAATCCCAGATCCAGGCATCCTAGGGGCCATGAAATATAGTGAGCAATAGCTGAGCAGTAGAGCTTTGTGGGGTAGCTGGTTGATATTTTAAATTTTTTGATGCCATTATAGATGGTATAGCTTTAAATATTTTTATTTTCCACTTATTTAATGCTATATGTAGATAGGAAATTGATTTTTGTTTATTGGCTTTATATTTGTGACTTACCTATATTTAGTAATTGATTCTTGTAGATTTTTTTCAGTTTCTTTCATACACCATCATTCTTTTCAAATTATGAATATTTTAATTATTCCTTTTTATTTTTTTGCTGTATTTGTTTTCTTGATATTCAGCACTTACTAGAGTCTGTATTATAAATGTTAAATGGGGTCATGAATTCGAATATTAATGATGTCTTCTATACCTTGTGGAGAAAATGTTGACTACTTTGCATTTAAGTGTTATGTTAGTCATAGGGATTTTTTTAAAAAGATTTATTTGTTTACTTTGAAATCAGGGTTACACACAGAGACAGGGAGTGGCAGAGAGAGGGAGAGAGAGTGAGAATCTTTCATCTACTGGTTTATTCCCTAGTTGGCTGCAAGGGCCAGCACTAGACCAGGCTGAAAGCAGGTGCCACGAGCTTCATCTGAGTCTCCCATATGGGTGGCAGGTGCCCAAACACCTGGGCCATACTCTGCTATTTTTCCAGGCCATTAGCAGGGAGCTGGTTCAGAAGTGGAGCAGCCGGGACTTGAAACAGCACCAATATTGGATGTTGGTGTTGCAGACAACTGCCTTATTCTCTACACCACAGCATCTGCCCCTAGTTGTAGGAATTTTGAAGCAGCCTGATGCCACATTGAAGATATTTTTTTCTATTCCAAGATTCCCATTTTGTTCTGACATAAGCCAGTATTGAATTTCATCAAATATTCATTTGCTGATCTATTGAAATGATTGTTTTCCTCCCACCTCCAGTATTCTGTGAACTGATGAGCTACCTCTGTAGATTTACAGTTGTTTACTAATGTTGCACTTATGGATTAAGCATATTTTATCATCACTAGCTTTATTGTGTTTCACAGGATTCTTTTGATAATAATTTATCTAAAATTTTCAGAGTAAGGAGTATTGATTTGTGTGTGTGTGTGTGTGTGTGCACACTTGCTTGTGTTTGTCTTGTGAGGACCTTATTGGGTTTTTGATTTTGGAACCACTAATATCATAAATGAGCTGTATGTATTTCTACCTCATTTATATTCTAAAATAATTTGCTGAAAGTCAGTGTTAATCTTCCTTAGATATTTTATAGCATTTGTTAGTGGAGATTGCCGGGTCTGAAAATTCTTGTAACTAAGAAGCTAATTTCCTTAAGTTTCTCAATTATCTATTTCTTCTTGCTGTGTTTTGAAAATTACTTTTAAAGAAGTATATTCATTTTTACTACTTAGCAGAATTTTTTTGAAAAGTTATTTGTAAGTTTCTTTTAACATCTTTAGAAAGTCTGTAGTGTCTTTTTCAGTTATTCCCTTTTAACTTTAATATTAGTAAGTTTATGCTTTCTTTGTATTAATCTTGATCATTTTGCTAGAAATTTATTATTTTTGGCTTTGTTGATTTTTCCAATATGTATCTGTTTTCCATCTATTATTTCTCTCTTATACTTTCTTTGTTGTATTTGCTTTTCTTTTTCTAGTTTTTCTTGTTTTATTTGCATAGAATATTTTTATTGATTTTAATTTTTGAATATTTTCACTGAATTTTTTCCCTTAAAGCATTTTAAATTTAGTATTATAATTTTCTTCTGGCTTTAAAATATTCCTTTTCTGATTGGGTAGGAGGATTGATGACGAGAAAGTCTGAGAATTCTCTGCATGTTCCTGTCAGAATGGCCCATGATTTGGGACATTTGAATCTCATGAGATGTACTTCTTATATTATCTTTTAGGAAAGGATCTTGGTAATACTATGGGTCAGTGACCAAAGTGCGATTGTTGACCAGTTTTTCCCCTGGGATCCGTTGTTCTCAAGTGAACTCAAGCTGTGGTGGCTGTGAGGTGAGTGTGCATGCGTGGGCTGAGCAACAAACACGACTTCTTCGCAGGAATGATTTGGCTGCTACTGCTGCTGAATGCCTTTCATGACACCAGTGTGCATTGTGTGTTGATATGCAGTTGTCCAGCCATCTTAAGGCAGATCAGTAACATGAAACTCAAGACGGAAGGAAGGACAAATCATTTTCAGCAGAGTGGACACTTTGGCTAGAAATGGTTGTTATTTTCAGCATGAACTGATCTTCTCTATGCAGTTGCTGAATGCCAGTCACCACCAAGGCTTCCAGTGCTACCTTGCTTCTGATCAAAGATCTAGGAAACGGTAGAAACAGACCTGGGATACAGGAAGTGCTGGTTATTTTCCTCTGTTTGCCTGTCCAGGTAGCTCCACTTCCCACTCTTCTCTGCTTCACTCTGTTCTTCAGAAGAATGACTCCATTGGCTGCTTTTAGAGGTATCTTGATGGTAGATGGTGATCAGTGTATATAACATATAAACTATGTATCAGTAACTAATACTAAGAGAAGCTTTTGCGTGGGTTTATCTATTTATAATCTACCTTATAATATAATTACTGTAGTATGTCTCCATTTTGCAGATGAGGCTTCAGAATGGATGTATGTAATAGAATTTGAGTAGTGGGATTTATTCCAGGGTAGCAGGCTCAGGAGCTCATACTCCACTCATGAAACTGTACAATTGAACCAGGTAGCAGGTGAAATGCTTGTGAGCCCAGACTCGAGCCAGATTTCCTGGGTTTGAATCCTGGACCTAATGTTATTCATTTGCTGGCTGTTTTGGACAAGAGCCTCTCAGTTTCTCAATTTTTTCATCTATAAAGTGGGAAAATACTTATTCCTGACTCCTAGATTGATTGTGACAATTAAATTAGTAATTGTGAGTAATAGTTGTGGTGTGGCTCAAAGTGTATAAATGTCTGGAATATGGTTGGCTGAAGGTAGGCGCACTCTGGTTAGATAGACCTGGCTTTGGATACAAGCTTTCCTGTATTTGATGTATTGAAACGTGGAGCTCCATGTGGCAAACATTGAGGAAAACCTATTTCTTGTTGCAGTCTCTTCAAGCTCACTTATTATAGGGCTCCATTTTCTTTCTTCCTGGGTGGGTGAAAAAGTGGGCAGCTCTCATATCTTTTCTGTTCACTCTCTAATATGGAAAGTCTTCTAATCAATTTAAACCACAAAATTATCTTGTTTTAGTAATTGATTGTTTAATCTAGCATAGTGTCCAAATGTTGAATTTCATTTTTAATGAAGTTCTTCCCTTTACTTGACTCAATAAGACTTGGCAGTGAAACCTCCAATTGGTAAACTATCGTTGTCACCTTTTCTTCATGTTATATAACTCTTCCTTCTGTAATACCTCCCCCTGGTCTGCTTTGGTTCTTGTAGGGTGTGGAGTAGGGAAGAGTTAAGGGATGAGAAAGGTGTTACTTGATGACTCCTGTCATGATCAGATATTGTTGCCCTCTGGACTTGGTGCTGGTTTGCAGCTTAATCTTTCTCTTGGAGGTATCCTTGATTGGTTTCTTAGAGATATCCCTTTACTGAGGATCAATTGCTATTCCCTTAACATAGTTGGTGCCACTTTAAATTTGCCTCTTACTATTCTAGATGACAAGGTCTGCGTATTCTTGGGGTTATTTTGCCCACTGGTTTCTAAGAGGACTTCTTGGACAGACTTTTTCATTTCAGGGACTATTTTGAGATCTTTCTTTGGTGTCTATGCCCAATGCAAAATCCACACTCCAAACTCAGGCCAATTCTAGCACAGCCATCTCCTCTCTTTGCTTTGAAGAGAGCTAGTGTCTCACTACCTTTCCCTTTTGGGTGTCTCCAAGCTTGAATCAAGCCCTGAACTCTGTGCTGCTCAGCCTCAGTTCAAGCTCCCTGAACGCTCTTCTTAATGCCTCCCACACTTACACATGGCAGGAGGTAAGTAGGAGGGACCCCTTCCTTTCCTCATGGAGGACGTGTAACAGTGGTGACAATGCCTACCGTTTTGTCAAAGAAATTATTTTCTTCTAGGTATTTTTTGTAGAAATGCAAACAATTTATTTCTACTCAATAAAGTAAAAAAAAAAACCACAAAATCAGAAAATGTGAACTAGAATATCATTTTAATAATGTAAAATACAAAATGCCAAAATATAAATATGACAAATGATATGAAAGACCTTTGCTCTGCAAATTATGAATACTGCTGTGAGAACTTAAAGAAGGGTAATAAAATAGAAATATACACTGTGTTCTCAGTGGGAAGACAATAGTATTAAGATCTTGATTCTCGGCCGGCACCACGGCTCACTTGGCTAATCCTCCGCCTGCAGTGCCGGCACCCTGGGTTCTAGTCCCAGTTGGGGCACCGGATTCTGTCCCGGTTGCTCCTCTTCCAGTCCAGCTCTCTGCTGTGGCCTGGGAGGGCAGTGGAGGATGGCCCAAGTGCTTGGGTCCTGCATCCACAAGGGAGACCAGGAGGAAGCACTTGGCTCCTGGCTTTGGATCGCTGGCCATAGCGGCCATTTGGGGGGTGAACCAATGGAAAAGGAAGACCTTTCTCTCTGTCTCTCTCTCACTGTCTAACTCTGCCTATCCAAAAAAAAAAAAAAAAAAAAAATCTTGATTCTCTCAACTCTTGAGGCTTCCTGTTCTGTCTGAAAGGCTTGTGAGAGCATTTCAGGCATGAAAAGCCAAGAGTATGGCTTAAAAAAATCCTACATGGAGGATCTCTGTGAGACCTCAGTGGAAAGAAAGGGTCATCAAAAAAGGATGTACTCTTCTCTGAAGGGAGGAGAGAACGTCCACTTTGCTTTTGGCCATGTCCAAATATTGATGGGGTCTATGGTCACAAAAGGCTTCCATAGCCTTGGCAGTCCATGGCAAGAGCCTCTGGTGATCACTGACGTCATAAATAAGGGTGTTAACTGTTAAAGGAACAACAGAAGTCACTGTGCACTTACTCCCCATATAGGAACTTCGTCTCTAATGAGTTGTACTATGAGAATTGACTGCAAATTTTGTTCCCAAACTGTACTCTATTTGTTCTGTGTATGCGTGGGTGCGAATTGTTGAAGTCTATGCTTAGCAGGGAGTTAGTCCTCTGTATATAAAGTCAAACTAAAAATGAACCATAATGAAGAAGGAGATGGGAGAAGGAGAGGGAGGTGGGATGGAACTTAGCGGGGGGAGGGTGGGTATGGGGGAAAGAACCACTGTATTCCTAAAGTTATAGCTATGAAAAATGCATCCCTTAGATAAAAAGTTAAAAAAATAAAATATGCCTTGAAATCTGAAAAAAGACCTTGATTCTCTAGATGCTTTATAGATGTAACAATCCCAATGCTAATGCCAGTAGAAAATAATCCTGAAATTCATTTGAAAATGTGAATAAATGCTACCATCAAATTAATTAGTGTGCATTCATTACCTCCTAAAGTTTCCATTTATGTGTGGTGAAAACATTTAAAATCTGTTCCTTTATAAAATTTCAATTAAACACTATTATTAATTATAGTCCCATGCTGTACATAAGATTGACAGACTATATCTTACCAAGATTTCCCTGTTTCCCCTACCCCTTAGACCTTGAAAACCACAATTCTATTCATTGTTTCTAAAAGTCCAGTTTATTTTAGATTCCACAAATAAGTGAGGCCATGCAGTGTTTGTCTTCCTGTGCCTGGCTGTTTCACTCACTCAGCACAATATCCTCCAGGTTCACTTCTCTGCCACTAGTGGCAGGATCTGAAGTCAGCATTTGTCTGCTCCCCTCCAGCCCAGCTGATTTTTATTTATTTTTTTTTTTTTTATCACTAGTGGGAGTAATTTAATCCTAATATGTCTCAATATAATTTTTCATATTTCCTATCCTTTTTTAGGTTATACAAGTTTCATTTATTTCATATATATAGATTTAGGAGCAAAGAGGGGCTTTTCCTCCCTCGTGCCCACATTCCAACCTTCCCCCCTCCCTTGGATTTCCATTATTTATTTATTTTTATAAAACTTTTATTTAATAAGTGTAAAGTGCATAGGTACAGTTTTTTGAATATAGCAGTTTTTACCCCCATACCTGCCCTCTCACCCCCAAACCTTCCCACCTCCTTCTCTCTCTCCCATCCCATTCTTCATTAAGATTCATTTCTGGCCGGCGCCGCGGCTCACTAGGCTAATCCTCCGCCTTGCGGTGCCGGCACACTGGGTTCTAGTCCCGGTTGGGGCGCCGGATTCTGTCCCGGTTGCCCCTCTTCCAGGCCAGCTCTCTGCTGTGGCCCGGGAGTGCAGTGGAGGATGGCCCAAGTGCTTGGGCCCTGCACCCCATGGGAGACCAGGATAAGCACCTGGCTCCTGCCATCGGATCAGCGCAGTGCACCGGCCACAGTGCGCTGGCCGCGGCGGCCATTGGAGGGTGAACCAATGGCAAAAAGGAAGACCTTTCTCTCTGTCTCTCTCTCTCACTGTCCACTCTGCCTGTCAAAAATAAAATAAAAATAAAAAGATTCATTTTTAATTATCTTTATATACAGAAGAACAACTCTATACTAAGTAAAGATTTCAACAGTTTGCACCACACAGACACACAAATTATAAAGTACTGTTTAAGTACTAGTTTTACCATTCTGAATTTTTATGATGATCTATTATCAGTTTACTTAGTGATCTTGTAGTTAGCCCTACTCCAGGTAGAGGAGTTCAGCAAATAGTATGCAGAGAAAGAAAACAAGAGAAAATAAAACTAAACTAAACTAAACTAAACTAAAGATCGTTCCTCAGTGGAAGAGATAAGGGCTATAAACAACCATCCATTCTCCAAATGACTATTTTACTAGAATGCATTACATTTCAACTATTCTATTAGTTGCATCAGATCAGGGAAAACATATGATATTGTCGTTTGGGGAACTGGCTTATTTCACTAAGTATAATGGTTTCTAGTTGTGACCATTTTGTTGCAAAAGATGATTATTTTATAGCTGAGTAGTATTCCATAGTGTATATATACCTAATTTCTTTGTCCAGTCACTAGTTGATGGGCATCTGGGTTGATTCCATATCTCAGCTATTGTGAATTGTGCTGCAATGAACATGAGGTTACAGATATCTCTTTCATGGACTGTTCCCTTCTGGTTTGGTAAATTCCCAGAGGTGGGAAGACTGGATCATATGGTAGGTCTATATTCAGGATTCCTAAGTATCTCCACACTGCGAATCTTGGGTCTTGGCTGATCTTCCTGGATCATACTTTCCAGGTAGGATAGCATATTTTTTTATTTCTTTTTCTTCGAGCCTAGAAAAGCTGACTGTGTAGACATGTTTATATGTGAGTTTATGGATATTGAGAGAGAAGGAAAGAGAAGATAGGGGTGTAGTTTACTTGGTTTCAAAAGTAGGCACACAGGATGTATTATGTGGTCCCCATTTTAGCTAGGTCTGCCACTTAGTCTTTCGACAAGTGTTTGTTGTCCCCATGTTTCAGGAACTCTTCTAGTTTTAGGGCTACCCAGGTGGTTAAGCTCTGGTCCCTCAAGGTACTAACACTGGGATGGGAGCCTTTTCTCTGCTGTGTGTAAAGCAGAGACCTTGAAAATCATTCACTGTTGTACACAGTTAGTCTTTATTTGGTACCCAAACAATGAGATAATCCTTGTTTAAATGTTTTTTAGAGCTTTCATTTGGAAATGCGCTTTCCACATAACATTCCTGTATCTGGAGATCTTAGTTTATGAGGAATGGGAATTTTTCTTATGCAGATTTTCTTTGTAAATTTGGAATCACTGATGAAGTGGTAAGGGTGGGAGATTTAGTGGGTGGCAGGAAGATATACACAAAATCTTTGCAAGTTGCCAAAATCAACACGAACAAGATGTTCACTATCACAGCCTTCAGAATTTGGATCCATAAAAGTATTGTGGTTATGTCTAGGACCAAGAGGCACTGATTTTTATTTAACTATAATTTTGCAGATTGCACCATTGGCAACAGAACTTATCATACCATTCTTTTGGCAAGATAAAACAAAGTCTGGTTCTACTTCACTCTGTCTTGGGTTGTCTAAGGATCTGGGGTCAATTAACTCAGTTGGTGAGTGTCTAGAGTCAGTGAGACTCAGTTGCATGCTGATTCCCAGTGAGCCACCAATCACCTTCACATGAAAAAAAGTGGACCCTTTCTCACCAATGGCTGCCCCACAACATGGACCAGCATAGTCAACACATGGGATCATCACAGGGGAGGGTGAGAGGTCTTGTCTTCCTCAGTCGTCTCTCCCACAGAAGTAATTCAAGACACTTTACCCAGTGACTTATCTGTGTGGTTGCTGAAGGTTTGGTGACATGAACCTTGGAAACACAATAGAATTATGCCTACCAAAATCCACATAGTTGGTCACAATTTATAACAGCTTTATCTAGATATATACAATCTCTTAAAAAAGTTCATGGGGAAAAAAAAACCAACTGCCATGTGTCCATGTCGCATATAACCACCATCTTGTAGACATTCTTCCGTGAGTAGGGCTTAGTAGCTTTCCTAGACTGATCTTCCCTGGCATGTAGCTCAGGCATCTGCTCCTTGTACATTGTGATCTCCACAGACTGCTGTGTTCACTGAGAAGGTTGAGGACACAGTAGGCTGGGTCCTGGCTGTCTGCAGAAGCTGAGCTGGGATGACAGCTTCAGCTTCTGAGGAACAAGCTTAAAAGTAGCATCCAAAGGTTCTTCTAGAACCCCTTGTAGGAAGCCAGCAAGGAAGACCTTCCTCGTGAAGACTGATGTGTGTGTGTGTGTGTGTGTGTGTGTGTGAACATTTTAAATATACAGTACCGGCCGGTGCCGTGGCTCACTTGGCTAATCCTCCACCTGCGGCACCAGCACCCCGGGTTCTAGTCCCGGTCGGGGCGCCGGATTCTGTTCCGGTTGCTCCTCTTCCAGGCCAGATCTCTGCTGTGGCCCAGGAAGGCAGTGGAGGATGGCCCAAGTCATTGGGCCCTGCACCTGCATGGGAGACCAGGAGGAAGCACCTGGCTCCTGGCTTCAGATCGGTGCAGCACGCCGGCCATAGTGGCCATCTGGGGGGTGAACCAACAGAGAAAGAAGAGCTTTCTCTTTGTCTCTCTCACTGTCTAACTCTGCCTCTCCAAAAAAAAAAAAAAAAAAAAAATACAGTACCATTATTTACTCTAAAAGATAAAATGAAAAGATAAGTTTATTTTGGCATCCAAAACTTGAAATCCACGCATAGCTTTTTCACAGTATGCATTTTCTATGAACTCTTGGAAGATCCTTTGTCATTTATGTGTCATACAATTCATAAACTTAAAGTGTACAGTCCAGTGGCTCTTATGTGCACAAAGCTGTGTAACCACCATCACAATCAGTTTTAGATCGTTTCCATAACATAACAATGAAATGTCTCAACCACTTGTGGCCATTCCCTGCTACTCTTCCCATTTCATTCTATCCTCTTGCCTCCTATCCTCCAGCCCCAGGCAATTGCTTATCTACTCTTTATATCATGCCCTCTGGTCAACTTCTATCAGAGAAAGAAAAGGAGTCTGGCCTAAAGGGTAATTCTGCCTTGATTCTTCCTAAGATAAGGGAACCTGGTTCTCACAGGGCCAGAACTAGTTCACTCTTTATCAGGATATGGTTCTAATTAGTATTTGCCTCTTCTATCTTAGATGTCCTGTAAGCCCTTCCTCTTCCCCTCTTTAAAGATTTATTTATTTGAAAGTCAGGGTTACAGAGAGAGAGGAGAGACACAGAAAGATTTTCCATCTGCTGGTTCACTCCCCAAAGGGCCACAATGACTGGGGCTGGGCCAGGCGGAAGCCAGGAGCCAGGAACTTGATCTGGGTCTTCCATGTAGCAGCAGGGGATCAAACGGTTAGGCCATCTTCTGTTGCTTTTCCCAGGCAATTAGCAGAGAGCTGGATTGGAAGTGTAGCAGCTGGGACAGAACCGGTCCCATATGGGATGTGGGCATCTCAGGTTTCACCACAATGTGGGACCCTGAGTAAAACCCCTTTAAATGAGAGAGAGAGAGCGAGAGCGAGCGAGCTATCCTGGAAGCAGACCTCCAAAGCCTGCTTTTCCAAATGTTACCCACAGTCTCAGTGGACATGCCCTCAGGCATGGTTTTTCTGAAGG